TATTTGTATGCAATCTCTAAAATCTCTCCTTACTCTCTGCGTAATTTAAACCAAGTCTCATCAGCAGTATTACATCGATCCATCAGAACGGAATATATAACTTCACTATAGAAAAAATTATCGAAGCGTATCTTTCTTAAACATCCGGGCTCACTGGGAATAGGGTCGGCAACCGTATTGAGCACTATCCCCACTGTCTTTTTTTCCTATTTGTTTTATTTTTGTGGGCATAAGAGCTAGTATACATTATATGTTCTGTCTTCGGGTAGCCCTTATTCATCTATCTTTATCTTTCGTCTTAACGGACATGTATAACATGAACTTAAGTTACCTAATAGGTCTCAGTCGGCTCTGGCGTCCCGACCATATTTTTTAGAGTATTTCTTAGGTTTTCAGAGTAATTAGTTTGTTTTTGGTAGCTGTTGTCACGGGTCCCATGCTACTATTCTACACCATCCCAGCATTTTTAAAATGAATATACGCCTTGGGCTCCTTTTAGATGTCGGCCTGCTTAGCCTTTCAACACGTAGTCTCTTTCGATTGAAACGCTAAAACCGTAAATCAGTATACCATTTAGTTGGGTTACACCATATTCCTTTATCTCCAAAACAATTGAAGGACGGCCCACACAATTCCTCTTTCAATTGCCCATAAAAAGTATAATTCAATTTAAAACTGTAGGACGTCAATCACTTTGCACTCCTTCAAAGAATAGGTAATTTAGAGTAAGAATTTATTGCAATCGTATCTTACGGGCAGGATATTAATTCCAGTTTCTTAGTGCGTCATTTTATGAAATACAAGGATTGATACTTAATCAACTTCACTTCATTCAGATAAATTATGGGGCTATCCAAGGTATTACGTGGCATTACTTTAATCATAGATATTTTGTATTTGAGCATTAAATCGGTCATGGGAGAACTCCCCAAAAAATATGGCTACTTCAATGCAAAGCATATGTTCAAATTTCTCACTCTTTAGCCTAAAGCGACATTTTTGCTCGGGGGAGAGGTAGGCAAAAACTCTGACATGAAAAGACGGATAAAGTCTTAACTAACAATTCTTCTTAAAGAGTTAAGAAGTTGCGGGGACTTAAAACTAATGCATACACTTCATCACTCTTAGGAACAATTTTGCCACTTCATCGCTATTCGCCTACAGTCGGTTCTAGCACAACATCCCGAAGACTCCAACTTACCGCAAAGCAGCCTCATCAATGAATCTATTCGGTAAATTAGGCGCGAAGAGATAGTTTACTATTGTACGCTTTCTGTTGGCTCAGGTGAAGCAAACTAATGGAGGCGGCCGGTGGTTGAAGGAGGTGGAGGAGTCACGGTGGTTAGGGATCTTGCGATTGGCCATTTTTCTATTGACGGCACAACACAGACGGTTATTAGAACGCGGTCACTGCTAAACTATTCAGTTTGTATCTAGGAAGATAGGCTTTAGACTAATTGTGTTTGATAGGGTAGTGAACTGTTGTTCGAACGTGGAAAAGGTGTTTGATTTTGAAGAAGAAAGGAAACGGCAAATATAGACGAGATTAAACTTATAGAGGAGGGAGGGGATTCTGACGGGCTAGGGCGTAGGGAAGTTGAGTGTAATAGGAATGAGGCAGTTGAAAATTTAGGCGTTGCCTCATTTAAATAGTTGGCGGTCGAACTTCATTATATCTATAAATATTGTGGCGTGAAATCGACAAAATATCTAAGAGATACAGATGTAATAAATGCAGATTCGGACTTGTTGCGCCTAAAGGCACAGATTGATCAGTGGTAGCGTGTCTATACGCTCTCGCTGACATAGCAAGACATCAGATATTGGGAAGTGGGCGGTACGCTGGCACGGGCGTGCTTCTTAAAGGCACGGCGTGGGCTTCGCGTGTTCTTATGCTGCAATCCTGTCTTTAATCTTACGGGAGCATTTTGAAAGAAATTTTTCTCGGTAAAACAGTAGCACTGTTGGGCCGTGACTGATCCTTGGCATTTATTTGACTTCCTGAGGGCTGTGCTTCTTGTCCCTGAACATTTCGGGACTGATGTTGGTATTGTTGACGTTTTCCCCTCTTTCGGTAATAGTATGCGCAATAGGCGTGCGGATGGGATGACAACAGTATAGACAGTTTAGACGTTGCTTTCATACTTCTCATGCCTCTCAAGCGAATTTACTTCATATATACTGAAAGCTGTTCACTGAGGCATGATATGTAATTGTATAATAAATGCTCTTTGTGGTTTGCCGCCTAGCGCGCTGCTTATCATAGGTGATTCTCTATCCATGGCAAACGTGCTATAGTCTGCTAAAGAATAGAAGGACATTTGGCCCATGAGGTCCATGTCTCTTCTACTGGAACTTTCACTTAGATTCATCAATAAGCAATTGTGCTATCTTCTATAATAGACTACAAATTTGGAGAAATTTTGGGAAATTTTAACTAATATATAACAAAATAGATAAATAAATATGGCGAAGTGAAATTTAAAAAGAAAATAATATGGGTTGTCTCCCACAAGCGCTTATTGTTTAACGTCGTTAAGAATCTCGGCGCACTCAACCTCAGTTCTAAGGTTAAAACGAGAACGATTGTACTCTTGATGGGCCCATCAACTTATTGATACATTAATTTTGGATAAACTTGGTCTCAGTATGTTTATGAGGCTTCATATTAACCTGAAACTTCGATTTTGACTTACCATGCCACTAATTCCTTCAATAGTTAGCTCTTCAATAAAGATCCGTAAAAATATTACTTGATTGGATAATGTTATTATGGAAATCACATGGTTACATATTTGAGTCAGCCTAAACTTTACCTATTTGGTACATTTAAGTAGTTCGAAAGATCATCATTGAGTTAATATCCTAAAAAGTAATGGCAAATTTTAATTCATGTTGGCACTAAGAATAGTCAGAGTTGATGTCCTTTTAGATTCCCCTTGCATGTTCGAATAACATCCTTTGATGTCATGATATTATCGTTGAGGGCTCCTGAATTGTTATGGTTTGCAGATCTTTATTTCATGTTAATTTTGGGTAAGACCTATTTCAATAAAGCCTTATTGAGAGGTCGTATTATTCTTACATCCCATCATCATATATCAGTTTTTGAGTAACGTTATTAATTTGACTCATAATAAACTTTACCTTTGTATCATTGATGTGAAATCTGAACTATTTATGCCTTCAAAAAACCAAGCACTTTTATTTACAACTGTATCTTCTAATTAAACTCAAACAGGTAATGAATGAAGAAGGATATGAAACAAAGCCTTATAAAATATCTTAGTATTGATTAAAAACGTCAAATTTGTTGAATATTATTTATAGGAGACACCCTATAGGGGTCTGTACTTGTTGCAAAACGTTCTAGTAGAGCTTCTATGAGCTATCGTTGGTAGAACTATTTTTTAGAGACTACATCACGTATCCCTATGAATTTAAATGGTCTTCATACAAAGATGTGTATCCCAAGAGAATCTTTTTGAATGATATCATTCTTAAATTTGATGTTGTACAACCTGGATACTTAGTCCAGAATCTTTTGTTATGAGATTGGATGATATGGATTGTTTACCTTAACACGATTCGCAAGTAATACACTAAATAATATTTTGCAAAAGACCTCAGGGAATCATAAATATATCTATTGGAAATAGCTCTACACCCAATTTCTCTATCATTTCAACGTCCGTGTGATTTATATTTCCTGCCCCTGAAAAGGTATGTAAGACATTCTCAGTCGCATATAAATGTGATATATTTCCTCTCAGAATAGTTACAATATACACTTATTAATGGCACTCAATTACTTGGAAGAGCAACAGCCCTCTGCCCACTTTGAACACATAGTCCATCGCCACTAGAATGTATTCGGTTTGGAGTCATGATGGTGGAAAAGGTCCGCATGAAAGCTCCCGAAACCCACACATTTGACAGAAGATTTTCGAACTTCTAAGGATGCTATTTAAGCGGCATCTCAATGTACTTCTTGTCGAAAATTTCAACAGTTACCAGATAACCTTTGACAACAGTATTCATAAAGCACGAACAATTCTAGTTAAAAAAAACGCATCATTTGAATTTGAGATTAAGTACGCAAATATTAATCAATTCTCTATCACTGGTTCTCGATTCTTGGGTAAAGCGTAGCACTCCTGCCTTTGTTTGCTTTCAAACGCTCAGAACCATCTCAGACAACAATTACCAATCATGAATTTGAGCAGAATTAATTTAA